GTGTTATGCACAAACAATGAATCATGGAACACTTCATCTAAAACTAATGATGTAATGTATGGGGATTAACATAAGAATAAAAAAAAATCAAAAAAAAAATACATTTAGTCTGTAAACTTATAAATTCTTCCCTATTATGATCACCTCTCTGCCTCAGTCTGTAGCTCCCTGTGCTCTAAATATTTACCCACGTTTGCAGCCTTGTCTTTAATGTAAGCCAATCTTGACAATTCTGGACAATGCTTAATTCTAGGTCTTAATATTTCCCCTTTAGTACCTACTATAAAATAATCTTCTGTATGCTCTTTTTTTCATAAAGATAGCTTTAATCATTTAGGAATGGCTTTATTCTTACAATAAATTTTACGTCCTGTACAGATTCAGTTCATTTCCCAAATGCCCTGCTGGTGATAGAAGCTTAAACCAAAGTGACACAGTATTAATCACAAATTTAATCTGTTTTAAAACAAATTTAAAATTGTTTCCCACAGTCTAATTCAATATCTCTTTCCAGAGAAATTTACCGATAATCTGTTCCAGGTGGATAGGTGTTTCTGGATATTGCTACACCTCTCTCACCTTTCATAAAGTACAACTTGATATACCACTCATTGTCAATCCTCATTTCCAGAATCTATAGGCAGTGATCTGTTCCCTGCCCCCACCCCATCCCCCTTGTGTGCTGGTCTCAGCCTACGGATAACCAATGTTGTGGCTGGATTGGCCCTTTTGATTCTTGTGGTAACTGCAAGCAGCCCTCAGCAGAAACCATTGGGAAATTTTGAAAGAGAAAAGATTTATTACTTATAAGTCCTGGAAATCACATGGCAAATCTGGGACCACACAGAGAAGTGAAGGCAGGGGAGTGTGTGGGGGCCTGGGGTTCTGCTTTTATTGGGCTTGAGGGTGGGGCCTAGGATAAAGAGCTTCACTCTTTATCAGTGAATTTAAAACCTAAGAATGGGTATTAAGGAGGGCACATACTGCATGGAGCACTGGGTGTTATATGAAAACAATGAATCGTGGATCACTACATCAAAAACTAATGATGTATTGTATGGTGACTAACATAACATAATAAAATAAAATTTAAAAAAAATAAAAAATAAAAATTTTCACTTCCTTTAAAAAAAAGTACAAAACAAAAAAAAAATAAGAATGGGAATTTAAAGCACAGCAAGAGAAAAAAAAACCAAGTGGCCCAAATGGTCAATTATCAGAATCACCCAAGATCTGTAAAACAAAGAAGGTGTGGGGGTTATCTAGTCAGGGGTGTGGCTGGTAATGTGTTTATCTGAGATAGCATCTTGGAAATGGGTGTCTCTCTGAAATGGATACCTTGGCAATCAAAACTTAAATCATTCACTTGCATAACAAAGATGAAAAACCAACTGTCAGGGTTCATACTACCTCCTCCCATGAAACCATTCTGAATTCTTATGACGTGACAATAGGTTCCTCCTGGTAAGTAAAGCTACATGATATAGATTGGCCTAAAAATATATTTTGGTATAAGTAAGTAAGAATTTCCAGAGTCTAACTCAAGTAAAATCAGACACTCATAAGGAAAAAAGGGAAGGCAGGTAGGTAGCAAGAGAAATTTGAACATGGACTTTCATGAACTAGAATTGTTCTTTATATATTTCCCATTATTCCCTGACATGGTATTGGTCCATTCTTGGTTTCCAACACTCCCAAAGCACATATTCCTATATGGTTAAAACAGTTGTTTATATAGACGCATGGGCATTATGAACACCTAAATGAATTTTTAATGCCAAAGGTGGGGGATAAATATTTCCATTAGCCTCTGCATCATTGTCTTGCATCGCCTTCTGACTTGAACCTAGGTCAATAGAATAAAACATTTACATCTGTGGAGTGTAAAAAAAGCAGTTAGTACCAACCTTAAATCATTTTTCCTCTTTACCTCTATGTCTGAAATGGAAATTATCTTGCCACTGATCCCTATATTGTTTCCTTCCCTTAGTTTTGGGAAGGAAAAACAAGGAGATAAAATATATCTCGTCCTATTTCCCGGGAACTTGGTTGTCTAAACATCACAGTCTCTGGACAAATTTTTAACTTCTTGATATGAAGACTGTTGACCTGAGCCTGAAGGAAAATGAATGTTATATACCCCAAATATCCCAAGGAAACATTTCAAAACATCAGAGATATACTGCTGGTATTGGAATCAAGCTAACCTCCAGGGAGCCCAAATGGTAATTGACAGATATCTAAACATGTATCTGTATATATGTGTGAATGCATATGTGCATATATATATATACATATATATATATGAATATGTGTGTGTGTGTGTGTGCATGTAGATAGATACCTGGATATAGATCAGAAATGAGATATTTTATTTTATTTTTTTTAAAGATTTTATTTATTTATCTGAGAGAGAGAATGGGAGACAGAGAGCATGAGAGGGGGAGGATCAGAGGGAGAAGCAGACTCCCCGCTGAGCAGGGAGCCCAATGTGGGACTCGATTCCGGGACTCCAGGATCATGACCTGAGCCGAAGGCAGTTGCTTAACCAACTGAGCCACCCAGGTGCCCCCAGAAATGAGATATTTTAATAGAAACTAATGATTTCATTACCCCAGAGGTTTGACTCCTTTCCCTAGGAAGTTTTGCAAAGACCCCAAGGGAACCAAGTTGGATATTATGTGAATTATGTGCATGATTTACACACACATTCATTAAATTACTCTTTTTTTTTTTTTAAAGATTTTATTTATTTATTTGACAGAGAGAGACCAGCGAGAAAGGGAATACAAGCAGGGGGGGTGGGAGAGGGAGAAGCAGGCTTCCCGCCGAGCAGGGAGCCCGATGCGGGGCTCGATCCCAGGACCCTGGGATCATGACCTGAGCCGAAGGCAGACGCTTAACGACTGAGCCACCCAGGCGCCCCTCCAGCTATGTTTTTCTGATTGAACCTTGACCGATACAGAAACTAATGTGTTTTCTTATTTCTTTGTATTACTGATTATGTCTTCCAGGAATTTGGGGTGTTTGGAAAAAGAAAAAGGACAAATAAAATAAATATTAGAAATGGAAAACAACACATAATCACATAGAGCAAATATAAAAGTATTACATGATGTTACCACAAAAACCTAATGAAAATAGGTATGAAATCTTAGACTATCTATACAATTT